ATGAATACTAATTAAAACCGATCAGATATTTCGTACTTCAAAGTGAATAAAATAAAATGAAACGTGTAATATTTCTGAAATCGTAATTCGCTTTGTGCTAATACTTAAAGGGTTTTTGGAGTAAAAGCTTCAATCTAGGGTCAAGGCTATGAAGCCTATTTCTTGTGTAATACTGAAGATATCCAGTTTAACAACGTTGCCGATCAATATACCTTTGCGTTTGGTTGGATTTGTGCTATTATGTTATAAGTTATATATTTATTGCTACGCAATAGCAAATGTTATTTATGTAATATTGGATACACACTATGAGTGAAATATGACAGGTGTCAATTTCAAAGTAGTAGTAGTTTGTACATCTCACATACATTTGTAGTGTAGATACTATTTAAACTTTATATCCAAACCCAATCTAGTTCTGAGCTAGTATTGTTCATTATTATATGTATATAAATATGTATTAGCATAAATAATAAATAAATGTATTGATTTGAAATAAATATGTAACTTAGAAGTGATCTTTTTTTTGTAAAAAGCTAGTTTATTCCTATAGCGTTCGGAATTGCCAAATGGCATCGAAATGACAATAAAAGGATTGGGGCCCATAAGAAATAAATGCAAAAATGTTGACTGAATAAAAATAAGACGGCCAGTGCAGAAGTGGTAGTGCCAAGAAACGCGATTGCATTCGATGCGATCGCATTCGAATCCTGCACAAAGGACTATATATCCTTTTTTCTTTCTACAATCCTACCACTCGTGGAGTGGGCCTTGGCGTGTCATTACTGCGACGTAGCCCCAATCGATGCCTGTGTATTTACACCTAATTCCAGTGTATCTATCTATATATGATACAAGTGAAAGATGCAATCTATATAGAGCGGAGCATGTAAAACGACTGATGAAGGTATGAATAAGCTCTCGATAAATTCCGATGAGAGTACGTACATCTTGGATGACTCGAATGGTAATTGAATAAAGGGAAAATAATTAGATACTGTCGTTTCCCGTGAATGATAAAATCTTCGTGGGAACACAAAGAAAATGTAAAATATCGATTCGAGAGTTCCCCCAAAGTTAAGGGGGTAGGTCGAAGGCTGCTGCCGCCTCCACTCCAACCAACGACAAGTCGCCCGGAAAATTTCGCCGACATATTTATTAAACGGGATGAGTCACTTCCATAATTCGCGTAACTGATGCACTTTATATTGAATCATTATTGCTTTAAGGAGAAATAGGAAAAGAGAAATAAAAAAAAGGACTATACATGTGATATAAATTCAGAGGGAGGTAAATAAATAAGGCATTGGCTTAGCATAGAGTGGTTCCCACACGCTTTGAGAGGATATCCATGTAAGAGCATTAAAAAGAAAAACCGCAGGGAAACTTTAGGGCCACTTCCTCAAGTCAATGCAAGTTAACATCGAAATAAATATATATATATATCTATGAAATAGAAACAGAGAGAAGGGAAGAAGAAAAAAACAAGCCTTCGCAAGAATCGATTCAATCTGCGTGTAATGTATCAAATGGTGCCCTAAATACGGAAATCCTCGAATTGGAAACATTACATTCCTAGGCTATTTGTTACATGCCGTGATGCAATATAATCCTCTTCGAGGTGGAGCTCCTCGGTAAGTGGATATTATGAACTAAGCTACATGAAAATGAAGACAATTAGCGGTACACGGCTTTGGCTTCAACCCACCAAAGCCACTAAGCGTAGCCGTTTTATACACTTCTTTTTTTCCTTATTAAATTAAAAAAACAACGGCTTCGTAACGCTATGCATATGGAGGGTCGTTCGAAAACTGCTCACTATAAAGTAGACAAACACATTATATTAAAAAAAACAATTCACAGTTCTGTAATATAACCTAAAACATCACTGTTTTATGACATATCAACTAGTAATATACTTAGAAAAAGAGCAAAATAATGGAGAAAATGGAAAGATATCTTTGATAATTGTTTTAGTATTGATTTGACTAAATGAAAGGTGCCCAAGGGTTATTCCTGAAGCTCATCAAAAACGGTAAAGCTGGGAGGTAATGTTGGTATTGATTGCCCGTGTACACAAGGACCAAACAACCAACAGAGTGAGAGAGAGAAGAGCGATATACCAAACACACTACTAGTAGTTCCCGAAGCATCATGAAGTTCTCCTGGCTGCAAATCTGCGATGGTGCTTTAATAACGTTTATGAATTTAAACTGTGATAAGGCCGTGGCAGTTTGTAAACCAGATTAAACGGCAATAAACGACCGGACAAAGATTTTACTGCGCTTTAGGTCCATGCGTATGCTATGGGCTATGACCATAAATACTTGATGGCGACTATATTATAAACGTATATATATATATAAAATGGTTAGGTTAAAGGCATTTCAATATTCTTTAGTATGGGGGGGATCGATTCATAGCAATCGCTTCATTTGGTGGAACGAAGAAGCGAATAAGAAAAAATAAATGCGTCCATCCGCGGAATGTTATGTCCCTGTATTATGGACCAGTCAAATTCGCATTTGATGCCCTGTTTACATATGGCCATTCGACCATTAAACGCGTCATAAAAATCCAATGGCATCGATTGGTTTATCCTCTTTTGGTTTCCCGATTCCCACGCGCTTCTAGATAATTCTCTCCGCTTTCAACTAGATTAACTAAGTAGAAAACTTGATGGTAAAAAACTCGTAAAGATGAAAATAACAATAAAAAAAACAGTATTTGGTTTTTCCACCGAGTTGGCTGCATTAATAATTCATTTCAGTCAGGATTTACGCGAATATAATATTAGAGAGAAAAGATAATTTCAGGTGTACTTACGCTGTGTAAGTGCTCTAGGGCTAAAATAATTTCTCCTATGTATATCCTAACTGCGTCCTCCTGGAAATGCTCTCTTTGGTAAAGATGGGTAAACAGTTCACCACCAGCGACATAATCTGCAACAAGAAGAAAAAAAATAATGCTTTGAGAGTCATGGATGGGCGGGGGAGAGGAGAGAACCACAATCATCGTATGTTTGCTCCTCGGGAAATTTCATGAGCGCGTCTAGACGCTAATACCTTCCAAGGTCTAAGCAAACAATCACTCCGTCAATATTATTACAAACTAGTACTACTACACACAACGAAATAGAACTAATAATAACAATACATCGATACCTAAGCTCCATTGTCTGTTTGTTTATTTTTCTTTCCCTGTTTTGTTCGCCACTTTTCGTATGGAGAACGCGCATTCGGAGCAATTACTACCTCCAAAGGGAGGGTAAAGAGTAGTAATTTAAAATTAACTAACGGAAGACAAACACCGAGGTTTTCCCATGGGAAAATCNGCACAAAAGAAACAGGTTGAAGAGGAGGAATCTGTTGTTATTAAATGCTGGAAGGAAGGAGGCATGCCGTAAATATTTGTTAAGTGCATGCATGCACACTTTCACTTTGCTTTGCTGGTGCTACAGAAGCCTAATTTCCTGAACCCTGACTTTGAAAGTTCTGTATGCAGCAACGCATACATAACACGTACGTTTCTCAAAATTGTGCAATAACAAGTAGTAAAAAAGACAACGTAATCGATGCACAAACATATAACAAATTATTGAAATCACTAGTCATTTTCATGTAGTTTACAACCATAAATTTGCAAATATTCAAATATGAATAGTAAATAAAAGTACATTTCATTTCTAACTTCATAAAGTGAAGTTCATAAATCAAAAATGTTAACTAATTCTCCAAACTGTGCAACTTGAAAAAAGTTTTACTCGAATGTAAATAGTAAAGTTATCAAAAGAAAAACATATATCAAAATAACCTTGAATCCAACAAAACGCGCCGACTTTTCGAACCATTGAATAGACCTTTAAAATTTGCTTAACAACTGCTTTATTATGTAAGTAAAAAACTTATTCGTTTTAAGACAAGTTTGTGATAAATCATGAAAAAAAGAGATTTATCATTTCTATATCCTCATTTTTTTTAAATATGAATTTAGATTTCATTAAAAAAAAATCTAATTAATTTTAAAATAAATTTAGTCAATTCTAAAACCAAATATGAAATGCTTCGAACAGATTCATTAACAAATGTTTAAAACTGATTAACAAAAAAATAACGCGATACAAATCGACAATTTCAGTGCACATTATCGAATTATAACAGGATCAGAGAGAGAGAAAAAAAGGAAGAGATGAACTCAATTGGAATCGGTTCCGGTTCGCATGAATATTTCATCCGGCTAAAATGACGGCCATCACCGAAAACCGGGTAAATCCCAAAAACCACCCTATAAACGTATTGATTGCATAAAAGGTTTAACAGCAACCAAAGTATATTCGCTCAACGATGATGATGATAGTAATAATAATAATATTCCACTGGATTCACAACAATGTCGAATGTCTATCGATCGAAGTCTCGCGTTATGCAATGAAATAGCGAGTTTCTCCATCCATTATAATAATTATTATTGCCAAGCGCGTGTTAAAATCAACAACGATAAAAAAAATATATATAAATATGAGGACTTTATTGGCTGACAGAATTTTTATGTCCCGCCGTATATCACTTAATGAACAATAGCCAAAATATTTATCACTCGCAATTGTCATAACTCGTACATTTTTTTTTTATGAACACAAAACCAAATATAATAATTCATTTCCTTCGTATGTTTCATAATTCAAAAAAAAAAGTCAAATGATATGAAAAATTCTTGACAAATCATGAATTTGTATTGTCCCATTGGATCAAAATATGTTTCTTGAATACTTTGTAACCTATTAGTAATTCGTGTGAATTGTGTTAATGTTACTGGCGTTAAAAAATTAGTTTGCTTTGTAAAGTTTTTTTTTTACATTTAATAATAAACCAGTATGTGAAAGTAATTATGAACTTTGTTCATTGAATTACATTAAGGCTGTCTTATTAATTAAATCAGTGCGTATATCATCGTTCTCTATGCACACTCACATATAAAAAAAATACATATATCATTCGAAATCATTAGGCCATTAACGCCCATCGTACTCGAGCGAGTACATGTCTCTGCCAGTCCCTAGTGCTAATGGGGTCGTTGAGCTCAATCGGATTTCGACTGTTTGATGTTATGTGTCGCATTATACATTCAATTTGGTAACATATATTCACTATTTGTTTGATTGTCCGGAGTGTTGTTAATATGCTATTACTGTCCCAAATGATACACCATTTAAAAACGTTATAATACATCATGGCACAAACAAAAACTTAGGTGTGTTTCTCCATATTCTTCAAAAATTTCATTCAAGTACATTTATTATCAATGTACATTAATAAAAGATATAAAAATTTAGAAAATAAATATTTAAAATATGCCATTAAAATATTTATGGATATTATAAAATGAATATGTTAAGATCATCTTTAATTTAATGATGATAGTTGTTGTTTAGTCAGAATCTATCATTAAAACAACAAATGTAAGATGATTCATAAATGATAATGTAGCTATGATAAATATTTAAAAAAATAAGTATATACAAGTCTTTCAATGGAAATCGATATTAAATAAGTTTAGACTTTTATAGTTAATAAATAATTACTAGGTAAAACCAGTTTGGTTTTGTTTCATTTTATAATAATCAAAGTGTAAGGTATGACTAATTCGTGTGTTGATATGAAGCATAAAGGGAACATAAAGGATACAATTAATTAAAGGTTAGTCTTATTTAAATGTGCGGTGAAAAATTCAAGTGATCATTAAATATTTCCTGGAAGTTTCAAGTTGACCTGATTATTTGTATATATATATAAAATACAAATCAGAAGCAATTGAAATGCTAATATAAATATTGATATAATTATAAACGTTCAGGGAACACAGGGAACGGCGTATATTTATAACTTTATAAAGAACGTCTTCCTCGACTTTCGTTGTTTTGATTCGCAATATTCACAACAACTCGATGTACAACTCAATAAAAATAACAGTCTGCGCACATTGGAATCGGAGAATCACCATATTAAAAACAAAATCGGTGTCACCTTCACAGGCTTTCTGTTTTATTATTATTTTTTCTCTCTCTTTCTACGCGCACATTTTTACTCTCTACCCATTAAAAGATCGCAAAACTCAAAAACCGAGTAATTTCAGTTGGCTAAGTGCCGCATATCTTGATAACAAATAAATTAAACATCGCGTGCTATTCAAATCCGAATGCTTTTTTCGTCGCCTCAGGCTGAGAAACGTCAACGTCCTTACGTACATTCAATGTATCCTTTTGCATTATAAAACAAATCATTGCAATGAAGAAGAAGAAAAAAAAACAACAAGAACAAATCATTATAGCAATGTGCAGAATTTTTAAAGTGGCGATAAATTAAAGTCGATTCGAAAGAGATGAGAATAAAACGAAATTTTGTGCGGAATGGCTTTATCTGCCCCGATGTTCCTGGACTGCGACCAGCTGTATTTATAGGCGTTAAAAAAGCGACACACTTTATTTTTCTATTTATATGTGAAATGCTGCCGAATGGGGAGGGGACGAGTCAGCAGGACTAAAGCACAGGCAGGAACAAAAACAGGAATATTGCGATAAAATTCGGGATCGCAGGACAATGGGAATCAAAACAATTATATTATTTTCTGAGTATTTTCGAGGGGATTGCAAATAGAGTAGGAACGAACGTGAATTGTTAATTGCTTTAAAAGCGGAATGTTTCCAATCGCGCAATGTACGGATGATAATAATGTAACAACAATGGAAAGTTTGTTCGGTCGTGTGGTGGTGCCTGTGTTTGGCATAAGATGGCGGCAACGTAACGTGCGGTATGCGCGTCGGGAATCAATGGGAAACAGCGCGCGTTTTAAATGGAAACAGGTTCGGAATTATCGCATCGCCTAATTGAATAGCAATGGAACGAAGGATTAGGCAGATACGTCCTTAAAGGAAACGGGTCGACAATGAGGGAGGCAATCACCGAGTGATGCGTACTGTATCATTCATTCCCTCTACGAGTCGCATTACATAATAGATCAATAAGGGACACGGGGATTTCGTGTTTTTGACTTGCGGCCCGCGTATTACTCATTAAGGGCTTCATAACTTCTGCATATTTTTGTAATGTTAATCCATGTATTTTCACCGTGCTACAAAAAGCGTAAATAATTGAAAAATAAACTGATGTAGTAATGGAAATGACAAATTACTTAGTACGTGAACTATGCTAGGATCAATAAATGTTGTAACTTTAGTAACAGATTTCAAAATATGTTAAATTAAACCTTTAATGATTTAACGTAAAGAGTAATGAATTAAATATTCGGACCTTATTAGGATGTTTCCCAAATGCACGATAACCTTGCAAATAGGTCATTCAATAAACTGTGAATCATCATGGACCTTTCCATGAAACGCATATGAAAAATACAAAAAAAATCTGTGCTAAGTAACGAATTCAACAAAATTAGTATAATTGATTCGTTTACCAATAAATATTTGAACAAATATTGAAAAATGAATTGCTGTGAGCGAGGTTTCATGAGGAGTGATTTGTAAATTGGCTAATTGTATTAATTAGCACCGTTTTTGCGGCAATAGCGATTACGGATGTCATTGGATGTATGATGGAGCCGGAGCCGCCATTTCGCATTCGATCAGCGCGAACGCGATTATGTAATTATTGGCCATTACACGCGTACTTAGCGAACTTTAATCGTTATTGTTTCGTTATTAAAACAAAACGCAGAAAAAAAAATAATGAGCAAGGTTGCGCCCGTTTACGAGCGAGAAAGAAATGACCGAAAAAAAAATTGTGTGATGTGTGTGTGTGTATATAAATTAAAATCAATAGCTCATGTTCGTAGAGTAGAATTCCGAGCCCGTTCTAATCCAATCCACTCCAATCATTAGCTATAAAACTGGAGTGAACATGATGAAGAAACAGAAGAAAAAAAAAAGTTACTGGACGGACTCTGGTATTCGATCTTTATATACTTCGATTTGAAGAATCGTGGGTGGGAAATTTGTAGAAAAGAAATTGGGGGGTAGAGATTTCGTGTAGGTGAATAAACCCTGTGACACTGCTCTTCCCCTTGTATTTGATGGAAACCACCCTCGAAGTCTACTAATATAGCACTAGATTGGAATGCGTCTTCGTTTCCAGCAGTCGCAGTCCCCCTTATATCAAATGGTTATTCGTACGTGCTTCGGCTATAATTAAATCATCAGATCCCAACACCACCCTGAACAACGTCCCTCCCACAGTATTATATCGCTCTCGGAAAAAAGGTTCGTGATGATGATGATTAATAACTGTTAATTTTGACTAAAACTTACCTAAAATTAGGTGGAGTTTGGCATCAGTCTGGAAGGCATAGTGCAAGGTAACTAGGAAAGGGTTGTCGCGGACGGCTTCGAGAACCTGTCGCTCAGTCTTCGTGTGCTCTGTGGTCTTCTTCTTCTGGACTATCGTTGCTTTCTTGAGAACCTTCATGGCGTAGAGTCGGCCATCATCACTGCCTCCTCTCTTACGGACTAGGAACACTTTACCATAGGCTGAAACAATAAGAAATTACAACAGAGATTAACAAAAAAAAAATAACTATCATCGTTAAAACTGAAATTAAAACTTGCAGGAATGAAGGAAGGAAAGGAGTGAAAATTAAACACATAAAAAACTGTTTTGTAAGCTCTATTAACTAAAGCAATTATCGTCGGACGTAATGCGTCTGCTCCCAGAACAATACGTTTGTTGCTGAATTCACTCTTCCTGCAAACAACCTAAGTAAAACTGAAATGCTTGCTTATTGTAATCAACACTTCCTTTATTCGTATCCTGCTTTTTAATCTAAACTATTTTCATAAAGTTACTTCAACACTTGAGATTAATATTTGTATACTTATCATATAAAATATCAAATGATGACCCCATTTCCTAACCAATTCCATTTCAAGATTTTTAACATGAACCAATTATTATTCACAACGTTAGCATTATTTTGGTCGAATGATCATCTTGAATAGCTCTTTGTTCTTTAACAATTGAATACATTAATTTATTGTCAATAATATTATCCTTAATATTTCCATATTCAATTAATGATTTTCATTTTGAAAGATTTAAAATTTGTAAACCATTTAATTCAGTGTATTCAAATAATTCATATTTGCAACTAATTGAAAACAGATAATGTTAAACAATAAAGTAGTTAAGATTATTGCATTGGTAAATGTAGTTAGGAATGATCAAATTAAGAGCAATGTAGTGGCACGTGTTTACAGGAAATATTTAGCTTAATTAAATTAAGCTCGGATAAAAATTATGCACGGAATAATTAAACCCGAGACGGGTGTCCTAAATCTAAAAGGCCAATAACTACTCGCATTTATAAGGCTTACTCCGCGGGGAGCATGAGCAGCAAAGGGGGTGCATTAGACTTAATGAAAACAACTTATAATGGAGCTTACAGCTGTCTGAATTAACGGCGGATTTCCAAGGAAATCCATACCGCCGGGTAGAAGAAAAAAAATATGAATAATCTTTGACAAATACGTGAGTGTTTTACTTTATTTTTTATCCTTCTTCCTCCTCCTTAGATCTTCTCTTCCTGCCCTTCACCACCTCGAAAAGAATATTAATTCAAAACGGGGAGCAATTTAAAAACGTCTTCGGGAATGCCGTTTATGAAATACATCCCGTGGCATTTAGTTCATGAGGCCAATTTATTTCCATATTAGAAATTGCATATCCCTTCTATATATTTCTCTCGGTCGCTTTTTTTTAATTCTTTGTTGACAACATTTCCTCTTCCGCTGCGAGGGCAGAGGATGCGATGTGGTGGCCGTGAAAACAAAGAAGCTCCAAATGTTCCAGATCAAAAGCAATAATATATCCTTTTCCGGTATATCAATTCCTTATATACTCAGTATGGATGATCTTGAGACTCTTCATTCTTACTCGAGGATGCATCCATCCATAGACGCATACGCACACCCAGTCAGACATAATGTAAAGTAATTTTCCTTCGTCGAGTCAGTGACCTTACCGAGCCAATCAAAACATATTAATTTAGAAAAATATGTAGCCCCATTAGTACGGATTTATCATACTAAATAAGCATTAACCGCCTTCACCATTGGCCTCTTATCTTCCACTCGGCCGTAACCGACGTATACATGTTTTTTTTTCTCCCAACCAGAAAGAACAGGAAAGCCCGTGAAAAAATGAACAGAGAGAAAAGAGGAATATAAGAAAACTAAGGTGAGTACGAATTCGAAGTATGCACTGCTGTGGGCGGAAAATGATTAAATAATACGGAATCGTGGCCGATTTATGACCAGTATAAATAAGCTTTAATGAACGCTAATTATTTGCAATATGCGTTGGGCAATAAACGATTCGACCTGTGCGATTTCGCCTTGCCAAACATCAAAAGAGATTGTACATCAACGCAAGTTTTCAACGGAAAAGGGCTAAAATTATGCATCTAAAAATTTTGATATTATAAAAAAAAATTGTGTAAATTGTACTAATATCATGCGAGTACTTGCAAAGTACTTGTCAAGTAGTGAGTTGTTGGATTAAACGTTGGTTGTGCGTGAGCTTTTTTGGATAATATAATGCAAGACACTTATGTAAGCCGAGGCCAACGCACTCTTCACGAAGACGCAGCGAAGGAGTCATTGTCCTCCAAAAATATTTGTTTATTTTTTTTATTTCGTTAAGAAAGTAAAGCGTATCACCTGGTATCATGGTTATTCTAAGCAATTCCTTTTTGGGTCCCAGGTGAACGCATTATTCTTTTAGACGAGAAATGCGCTTTTATTAGGAAAAAAAATAATTTGCTGGGAGCGAGAAATTAAAATTTTAATTAGTAATTGCGTCGGAGAGGCAAATCGAAAAGTGGCTAACAAACTGGGGAATATGTACAGTAAAAGCGAGAGAAAGAGAATTACATTTCCCTATAACCGAAAAATGTCTATAATCACTTAAACGGAACGGAAGCGCTTCGTAACAGGACTTCCCGGTATATTAATATTGATTCGATTTATTTAAAGCTCAATCACTCTAATTGCATTTATCCCCGTGTAAATTCAACATTCAACGAGGTCCTCTCTCTCTATCTCTTCATCCATCCATCCATTTCGTTTATTTCATCGCCGTGTAAAACCTCGTCTTTGTGCTTAGCTCCCGTTGGGGCTTTTAATTAAAAAAGAAGAATGGCGCCTCCATCTCTTCTCCTTTTTTTCGCTCTTCCTCCTGTCCTTCAATTCCACGATCTTACGTCCATCCCAGCATCTTCAGATACACATCTCCATGCGGTTCTGAGCAATATAAACTGCACGTAGCGGTTATAACCGACGTTTAGCACATCATACTAGTTCGGGAACAAGTCCTGTGTACGACAAGAACTTTATCAGCAATGATAATTTGGCGCGATGCCAACATCTACAACTCGTGAAAGGGAATGATGGAGACTGCAGCACACGCTGTATTGTTCCGTTGTAATTTTTCATTTCCTCCGGGTCCCTTGCTTTTTTTCCTCTCTTTCTCTCCAGATATATAAAAATTCCTTCGGCGTCCCTTCATTTTTTTTCCATTCTATAATCATTTTTTTTTATCTCTTGTACTGCTTTATTCGTAATATAAATACGCTCTTAAGTTTTTTTTTACTTCCATCAGTTATTAGCCGTGAGGATCCATCTCAGAGGAATGGATAAAATATTCGGGGGGTTGCGAAACGAGAAGCACAAACTTTCCGAAAGTTCTATTATTAAATCATAAAACTATTGCAATTTATTGTGTGTGTGTGTGTGAATAGTTAGTGCGGCGGCTCGGGCCGCCTGTAATACACTTCAATTCAGTAACGGCAAGTCACTTTGAAGGGCTCGAAGGGAGAGAGAGACACAGGCATAATGGTTCAGGCTATAATATGGATATTAATAGAGCTTTCTGCGCGGAATTACTGCGACCAGATAGAGAGGTATTCCTGAGCTAGAAGAGCATTCCAATTGCTTCGTTCTTTATTTTCAACGTTGCAATAAACACACAATACCTAAATGCAAATTGCGCCATTGTCGAATGTCAACGTGATTTACTTTTACCTGGATGCTCATGCAAACAACGAAAAAGAAAAATACAAGAAGAAATCCTTTGTATCGAAAGACACACGACGACCACAAGAATTCAGCGATTACCATTTCGCAATTAATAAAGGCTGCAGTATTTTTAAATAAATGTTCGAATAATATATGTGATCAAATACAAAAGTATTTAGTATTTTATAAGGCTACAAATTGTCGATATTTTCCTTTCTTCCTAGTTATTAGCAACGTACCGAACTACATTTTTCTTTTCCGATGATTAATGACGCCTGTTTTAAATATAAGCTCGTATATGTTATCTAGAAATGCCAGAGCCTTAGAAAATAATATCAGTTATCAGGAGGAGAGCGCTTCGAGGCATATTGATGTTTCTCCGGAGTAGGCAAAAACGAACCGGCGATTAATAAATCAGCCTTTATAAATGCTCAATTCAAATATACCCGTGGATTGTGTATTTATTGTGTGGTTTCGAGGAACATCCAAGCTCTGCCAACTCTTCTCGGAGCGGATCATGCAAAGAATACCATATTGAAAATGTAATTGCATACTATTATGTAGTTTGTTTTTTTTTTGTGTTGTTATACCACAGCTTTTCCTGGTGATGCAATAAGTCACTCACTACCTTTCAACACGTATTCAATTAAAGTAGAACTACGAAATTAAACGAAAAAAAATAAATATACACATAAGAAAAGAAGAAAGGCAGATGTATGAAAATAAAATGAACAAGTTAATTAACTCTACCTAAACAGTTATTAACATTGTACAAAATAATTATAAATTAGTTAGAAATTGAAGATCAAGTACTAATGAGAATGAATAAAGAACAAATAACTATTGGAATATTTTTAAAAAGTTTGAACTGTAAGTGATCACACCTTCAATGGAAGTTGTAGTAATCGTTGACAAATCGTCGACTCGACATGGTTATGTGCCATTAGTCACGTTTAGACTAGAGGGAAAAAAATGGAATAGAGAAAGAGAGAAACGTAAAAAGGTTTCACTTATTGAACAGCGTGTTCCACTGTGGATAGCAGCGAAATCCTCGGAGCCAGTGAATCAAATATATCAAAAGCTTATTGTGCAGGAAAAAAGGTCGCACAAGCGGTTTGTTTTCGGAGCGCGAAAAAAAAAAGTCGAGTCGGAAAGCAATCTTCATCAAAGATAAATCACACGACTTTAATGACCGTAGAAGTTCTGAAGATGATTATAAAGTATCTTTTACGATTAACGAACGTTATCGTTAAAATGAAGGTCGATGTTAGACGATTCAAAGAAAAATCGGTAAGCTCGGCAAGTACAGGTGGAGTGAAAGTCGGATGGCGCAGAAATGGAACTAGTTTGCCAATGAAGCAATTAATGCGATCGCTATCTTATCATGAACGGCACCTCCGAAAAAGAAAGAGGTCAGATGGAGAGAACGATGAAAGGAGGGAGAGGAGGAGATTCCTTTCTGCGCGGAACGGTGACGGGAAATTTTAATTGCGAAAACGAGGAGATTTATTTTTAATTAAAATAATTGTAATGCGAGTTCTCCGAGTGGATTAGAGAAGAATGTAAAAGGCAAGTGACTTCTGCTGATGATCATGGGCTTTGGAATATCAGCATTGATTTGGATATATCGTTGTAAGCGTTATGTAGAATAGTTGTACAATAAATAATTGTAATTAGGTGGATTGATTTTTGTTGAAGAAAGGATTAGGAAGCTATGAACATTAATTAAAATAATTAGAATGACAGTTATTTGGATGGATTAGAGAAGAATGTAGATGACAACTGAGTTATAAGCTTTGTAAGTTATGAGTTATGAGCATTGATTTGGAAATATTGTAGCGCGTTGGAAGGCGAATGTAGAGGAGCAGGTGACTAGTTGTTCACTAGTATAGACGGATCCCTACATCGCGGCCAACGATCTGCGGCCTTCTTCAGGTCGTTCACTTCGCTTTTCGGCCGATTCCTCCGATAACTAAATCGCCATTGTCGGGGTCAATCGCATTCCCCATATTATTATTATTACAGCAACAACAAGCAGATCTTTGAAGCTCGAATGCAAAACCGTTCCTAGAGCTCTTTCCTTCTTAGCGCTCTCAACATACATTGCAAAATTCGTATTAATTAGCCGCAATGGGACACGGATTCTGCGGTCGCCACTTACGACGAATGATACATGTAATTTATCAACGGTAATTAAACGTGTTGTGTGTTCGCCTCCTCGCCGATTGTTGACTCGGTATAAATTCTCATGGCGTTATTTTCCCATGATACTGGAACGCCAAGAACCGAGTTTCACTTAAAACGTACATGGCGGAATCAATTACGGCCGAATCCTAGGATTTTACGACGCTCTTTACCGGTTCTAATTGGGCGGACCAAGGTGTTTATTGCACCTCGGGCACGTGGCCAAATTCAACAAAAAGCTGTACATAAAACCTGACTGTTTTCTTTGACCGCATCGTTTTTCCACCAAGGCCGATTGAGAATAAGAAAAGAAGAAATTCAGGAATCCGAAAAACGTTTTCAATTAAACAAAGCTTCAAAAATACATCTGCCTTTTTTTGGAAAAATATCAAACAATGAACGAGAAAATGTTGTAGGTTTGGGATGAGACAGGTAACAAGGGCGGATGCGATGCACTTACCTCCAGTTCCGAGGACCTTGAGAAGGTCGAAGTGAGACATGTCGACTCTTTCTGCGCCGGAAAGGTTTACTGAAACAAATAAAAAAAATTGACAATATAGAATATACTTCAAACTTCAAGCAAAATGACAATTCACGAAATGCAAAGACATAATCATTTATTTCACTTTATAAGAAGAACTTATTATCAGCCATTTTTTCTAAAAGCCATATTTCAATTGATTTCCTTCCGTCTCTAATATACAAACAATGGTAATAATAACAAGCTCCTCTTGACTTAGATAAATGCGCTTGGGTTGTAAGGGTCAGAGAGACAATGATTCGGTTCGACTGGTATGTCGACCGTATCCGGTTCTCGGTATATCCCGAAGTCTTTCATTCACCCTTGATGTTTCTCACTTCAAAACGCATTTTCTATGTTAAAATATAAAGAATCAAATTTAAAGACAGTAAAATTTTGACTTATAGTATTATATACAAAAAAAAATTGATAATAACGGAAGTAAAAATGTCAAAGTACAACAAAAAATTAATAAAAAATATGTTATTTAAAATATTAGCTATCTTCAATATTGAAAATTACGTTTTTTAAGGGTTAAAATTATTTCTATTATACTCGAGATGTTAGATGTAATACAAATAATATGATAAAATAACAAATCGCAGTAGATCTATTGTACCTTATGTAATAAATGCAAAACTTGCAGAATGCTAATGAATAGCTTAGAACGAACAATTATGTAAACAAATTGTTCATAACAACAAAAGAAACGCGAACGCTGCAGCGTTGCGAAAGTCGTGAGCGCGTAACTTTCTGTTTAACATTTGTTCGAAAATGGAAATACCCGATTAATATTTTTTTTTATCCATATAAAGAAGAAGTAATTCATATATTATTATTATTTTTGCAAACGCGACTTTGTGCTCAGGTCGAAGGCGATTTGCGTCATTGAGTGTTTTTAATTGAATTTCGAAATTGGAACCGAGAGTTCGCGATTTTGTAAGGCCAATTTGAATGCGAATTGCTGCAGTATGCAAAAGACGTTTATTAAGCACGCTTTACTGGTTAAGGTTAAGCCTCGTTATTATTATTTTTTTCTCGAAAACAATGGTAATATACAATACAAGAACAATAATAAAAAAAAACGAAAAAGAAAAACGTCGCTTGGGTCAAAGAGATTCCTTTTCGCTTCGGTTGATTGAGCTCGAAGCATCATCGATTCGCCATTTGGAAGGTTTGATATGTCCGGAGTTAATTAAAAGAACAGTAACAGTCATTTGTGTTTGATCGTTTCGCTCATTGATTCGATTTTAATCCCGGTCGATTATTCACCGCAAAGCGAACTTTTATTGTTGCAACAGCTAACAAAAAAAAAACAATTTTGTTCGAAATGTTTCTTATAGAAATATCACTTACAGAAATCAACATTTAAATTGATATCATTTTAAAACTTTATAGAACTCACACAGTCTCATTACTATAATTCATCAAGTTGTAAATTGATTTAAAGAGGAAGAAAAAGAAACAATTTACAAATCATTAAATGTATTTCCTGTTGTTGTATCTTTCATTGATTCAATTTCATTTCAACCACAAAGAAATTTGTATAATATAAAACATAAAACTAATTTTTTCAGTACATTTTTACTTTATGAAAATTCACAAATACAATTTGTAGAATTGACTGAAGACAATTCTCATTTAAAAAATAATAAAAATTCTTTAAATTCGTAATTAACAAAATTATTTAATAAATGTATCAAAATATTAGTGAAATTTTACGAAATACAGGTTTAAACCAGAAATTTTGGTATTAAATTATTACTTCTGTTCTAATAATAAATTACATTTTCTATAAGAATTTGTCGTTTTACGAATTTTCGCTTTACGATAAAAAAAAATGTATATGATTGGAACGAATTAATTCGTAAAGGTGGTAATTAGGTCCAATTTAAGATTGGCATTGCTTCCAAGATTCAGAATTGATTTCAAAACAATTGAAAGCACAAGGAAACGAACGGCAAATTTCTAAATCGATTTCGAGAATTGTGAGTAAAGACAGAAAAAAAACACACAGCGTATAAATTAACCCGCGCTGAGGAATGTATACACATACACAGCTATTGTTGCGAACATTGAAATCCTTGCACTTTCAGTCAGTCCGTTAATGGGAAAAACATTTTCGCAAAAATTTTTATTCCCCTTATGAGAAATCGGTAATAGCGGAAACGTGACTTCGATTAAGAGCGCAATCCTACCTACATCTAAATACCCATAGCTTTTTTTTCTTCTTCTCGATGCTGATAGGGGTGTAGCAAACAAAAGAGGAAATGGTAACGACACGTCTAACCGGAACCGGACGTGGCGACGACGATGGGGTTTCTCGTATTCTTCCCCGGCCACTAATTGTTTTGCGCAAATCCCTTCTCCTTTTGCTTATGGTCATCAAAATACGAAGATAAAAGTCCGAGTTTCTTGCATCGGAAATACGTGACCGGCGTGGAAACAATTACGTCGATATATACATTTCATATACGGCGAGAAGAGGTTTATCAGAAACACACAGAAAAATGAAATTCCAGTTTATTGACATTTCTCGACGTTATATGGATGGGATATGATGGTGTTTTTATGTGTGTGAGCGTATATATATATACTTTGTGCCTCCTTCATTTCAGTCTTTCGCCAGTTTGGATTGATTCTAGGTAGTTTTTCAACGCGTAAGCAGACATCTCGTGAAGGGAACGGGGAGGCCCTACTATCTTTTCAGATAAACTCCGTCGCATATCCCCCATTTATTTTACAATGTGGTGTAACTGGTGGTATACACAGATATATACAGGGAGGGATACGAGCGGGGTGAATGACTGCCGGAAGTATCGGAGCTCCAAACCGGATTCGGTTACCTACAAGCTGTTGCTAAAGCACACCGAACATGTCTGTGTTGTGATGCATACATACACGCTGCATGCAGACGTATATACACACAAACACACACACTTCATCAACATCAGCATTATTATTAGCAAATTGAATCATTTCATTAAAAGCAAGGTCACACGCTGCGAGCGGATTCTTTAGAAATTTGCCCTGAATAACGAAAATTTCACCTTCTGCTTCTCTTTCAATATTGCGGCTACTGCTGTTGGCGTCTTGACATTTTGCAATTTACATCACCAATCAAGTTTACCAACATAACTAAAATAATCCATTAAGCCCCGCACTTACAAAAACATCACAACTCTAATCAACTGAAGAAGCTTCACACATTTCCTAACAAAAACCACAACTGCTTTGCATATATCAGGGGTAGCCAAACTGTGGCTCTCGAGCCGCATGCGGCTCTTCAAAAGTCTTGAACACAAATATGATATATTTTATTAAGATTTTTTTTAAATGATTATACCAAAAAGTTTAGTCTTGCTGCAAAAAGTCTGGCCACCTCTGGTATAATTAACGCCGAAATGTATTACGTATATCAAATATCTAAAACTTATATATTTTAATACGTTGACATTGTTCTATTTCTATTATAAATCTAGATTACTAAGTGATTCGAGCAACGATAGTTGATATCAAAAAGTAAATATACGATTGGTTCGATAGTGCTAATGTTAGTGCGTGTAGATTAACTTTAGAAATATGCTAAAATAAACATTGCCTATCCAGAAATTAGCATAACCGAAAGTTCGGTAAAATCGGGACAGCTTGAATATACACACACACATATTTATTCCCTCCGAACACTGAAATATTCGAGCCGCACAATTCCAGTTGAATTAGGGCCATCCCAATGGTAAAGTTACGTATAACTTGTACGCCTAGGGAGATTTTGGAAACCAGGGAGGCGTGATTGATAGCCTTCGCTAAATCTAAACTGTTTTTGTCCATCCACTTTACAACATTCTGAATACATAAAATTCATTTTACAAATATAATTAATAAAATATTAAGTAACTAAAAAAAAACTTGTAAAGTAAACAAACAGTAATGACATTATAATATTAGTTGTATCGGTAATTGCATTTATTAGGTTTCCCTTGGATGGAAATCCTTCAGCCATGTGTGTGCATTGTGTGAATACGTGATATTACTACTAAATGATCTCGCTGCTGTTAATATTCCAGTTGAAGGGAAACTTTCCAACAAATACAGTTACTTGTATTAATATCATTCTCACAGTAGCATTAACGTTAATTACACGTTAAATAATGCTTTAAGAAAAAGAAACTGTACATAAAGTTACATAATCATTTAAATTTCATTGTACTTATTATGAATGGTATAAATAATCAAGGTTTATTTTATCTAAAACAAATAATTGTGGTAATAGGATTCAAGTGATAAGATATAACACGAAAATTACAATTTACTATTAACTGTTGCTACAAGGTTTTCCCCAAGGCATGCGAAGATTGTTCAATTTTCCTAGTTTATATAAGCAAAATCAAACGAATTGTTTAGATAACGCTGACGCTTGGAAATCGGTTTAAAGTAATAAAGATTAGTTTAGTATTTGAAGGTAAGCTCTACATTTCTAAACATAATAATCTCATTCATTTATTTCACATAAAACTGTTGCTTTGTTTATAGTAAAACAATTTAAGGTTTAGATTAGTTTATATCAGATTAAAAGTTTTTGAAATGTTGTTGTTTGTAGCAGAAAATGTGGAATAAACGTCTCATATTTCTGAGCTATGTGCCATGATAACATCGCGACAACAACGTTCACTTGGTGGAAACTATCCCTTGAGGCAAGCATAGTCCCTTTGGGCCATTTTTACATGAAAGAAAAAACAAGGAATACAAAAAACTTGTTTGGTTCATCAATATTGTAGAGTGTTTGTACAAAGTCTATTAAAAGTTAATAAATAAATAAACAGCATATTTTTAACACACGCAATATTGAATTTTTAGCAATACTATTTACTGTTTACTTATAAAGTTGTCATATGTTATGGAAGACAATTAAATAAAATGTTGTTTGCAAATTGGATTTCGAGATTTTACTACTTCGAAGTTTATGTTTGTGACATGATCATTCCGGTATTCTCGACGCAGATGAGATC